TATATATATATATATATATATATATATATATATATATATATATATATATATATCCACGCCTTTAGTTCATCATACGTTGCAAGGCATTTTTAGGCAAAAACGTTGCACAAAGTAAGTGTTACCTTATTATTATTCTATAGGAAAATGATGCGATATTAATTAACTGTTTGACAAATTTCGCAAGTATATAAGCAGGTAATTGGGAAGAAAACAATAATAATAGTGAACCATATTATCTGAATATTACACTGGAACAGTATACACTATATACTGTTATGTATATATATATATATATATATATATATATATATAATCCAGTTGCTTTGAGGTATATCATCAGGCGTTATTATTTTGCAAATATTCATGGTATGGACCACCACTATTATTATTAACAAATCATTCTAAGAGTACGGCCATGCTAGGAAAGAGGACGGAGATACGATAGGCATCACAAGAAACGACGAAACAATACGACGACAATTCTAGCACGAAATTTATACAGGGATAGAAAGTTAAGAGAAAGGTGTTAAAAGATCGACACGTAACATTTATATATCACCCAGAATCTGTATCACCACTACTTATGAGGCTCGTGTTGGTAGTTCTTGTCAGATTTCTAGTCCGACTCGAGTAGGCCTAATGCCCAATAACGGGCGACTTTCAAGCACTGCTGTTTGGACACTCGCGATGGCGCATGTCAGGTCAGGCATATAACATCAAATACGACTGTGTATTTCCATATTCGGTTGTAGGCGTTCTGCCGATTTGAATCGCCGTAAATCCACGAGTGCGCAGTTTAAGACGGCAGCACAGGTTTACCCATACAAGCAAAATTTGCGCCCTCGGCTTTCACGTCGTGTGTCAATATAAGCACATAGTGTTACCCTATGTGCGCGTCAGTCGCGTCTTAGTCACTAGAACTCAGTCCGACAATAATATTGTCTATAGCGCAAACCGGACTTTTGTGAGACTCGTAGGCTTCGGGTATCATAGGATTTGATTAGGAAGACCAGGCTATAGGATTTACAATGTGAGCTTATACGAGTTTGTGACCACGTAGGAAAATGTAAATGTTGTTTGTATATATGTAAAAAGATCAGCGAAAAGAGGGTAAGAAGTAAGTATATATATGTATAAAATTATATCTATGCAATAATTATTGTGACAATGTATAATACTGGCTTGGTTTATAGAATAATATGGCGACGAATGTATATGACAATGTTATGTAGATGATTGAGTAAAATCATGTGACAGGTTAGTTGGACCGTCTTGGAAAGGTAGTGACCGCGGGTACAGTCATGCATGTATCGTGTTAGATCATGAGGAGGAGTTGACATCGGTCACTGACTGCTGGAAACCAGACCCAACTGCGATATATAAAAACTGCCACGTGAGGTCTGACTACCAGACTTACATTCACCCTTCGCCTGGGGACTCACAAAATTATTCCCGTCGTTCTGCCAAGAGCGCAACATTTTGTTTGAAGGAATAGCTGGCTGAATGCAAGATCAATGCAAAGGGGTTCTACGAAAGAATGGCTTGTAGCAAGATGAATACAGTGCAAAATCATAAATAAAATGTGGAAAGACCAAAAGATCGCTAGAGAAGCACTCGAATCGCCGGACATTGTCATCAGACGGAATACGTGAAAGCCCGACTGTCCTGTTCAGTGAGTGGAGGTGAATCAAGGAAAAGGTCCGAACTGACAAGGAAACGATGAGGAATGGAACGAGCGATGTTCCGAAATCAGAACCAGAATAGGATAGTAGACCTTTCACCGTATTTGCTAGCTAACAGAAGCTCTATGTACGAAAATGTACGCAGCAAACAGACAAATACATCTGAACACATCTGGCAGCACGTATAACGCGTAAGGCTACTAACAATGCTACGTATCTATACTAATAAAACAAAAAAATAATTAAAATAAACCCATCTACGATAAAGTGCTCTAGCATACGTACACACTACGCTATACGTACTTGGGAATACGAACCGAAGTACAAAGCGTAGCATTTCATTAATTTTAGCACGACTAAACAAAAAAGATCCTACTTCCATGTTGTACAAGCAAGTTGCCAATATCCGCTTACGTGACGATCTAATATACTTCATGCAAGCACTCGCGCGGGATGAACAGAAAACGTCTATAATAACGGGTGATATATCTGCATGCTTAATAACATATACTTGATACTAACGGATGTACAATAAGACGCATGCACGTGCGTTTTTCCCGTCTGGGCACTGCACTCAATATTATGATGTTATATGTATTGGTCTACAGTCCATATTAAGGTGCCGTATTTCAGACATAACTATGTCAAGTCAACAAGTGATACAAGCTGTGTATGAAATATAATGAGAACTGCTGCGCTACCTCTAGGAGTACGCCATCTTTGTACCACGTAACCTGAGCACGTTTGTCTGATACGCTACACTCTAGTATGGCTGTCAGTTTTTCGTCAATATCAAGCCGCTTTGGCAGCAACTTGGTAAAGAAAAATTTCGGGTCCGGCTCTGAAAGATCAGAAGAGATAGAGTCGTAGATTAAGCTGTAATGATAATAACAAACGACCGATTACCCTAACACCAATACGTATTGAAACCTTGTGTAATACACCCAACCTAACACTCTCGTAAACACCATACAGCTTAAGTGTACCTTCGACGCTGAGATAGGCAATGGACTCGCATTTGTTGATCTTCAGTGAGTAGATGCCACCGTCGTCGACAGTGGGTTTTCTCACGACCAGGATGTAGTTGTCTCCCACAATTTCTATGTGATACTTCCTTCCAGGAAAGATCTCCTGCCTGTCCTTGAACCACTGGACCTGCGCGCGTCATGAAATAGATACATATAAACGCGAGAAGGACGTCAGGTGAGGGCTGCGACAATGCGTTGCGTGCCAGATAAAAAAAAAGGAATGACGCGTCTCGCTGTTAAGCCCGCCGCACACTCTGTGGAACTTGCTGCGCCACTAGTGTGCTGCTAGTGTGCCACTAGTGTACTCTAGTGTGCTGCACACAACGTGGCGCAGCAAGTTCCACAGCGTGTGCGGTGGGCTTTACTTGCTGACGAAGTAAGTGCGCAGTAATTGATGTCATTGGACTTATATGACAGTATGTAATGCGAGGACGGCATATAGTCCACTATTCGACTATCTGCTGTTTTATTTTATGATGTCGATGTCCCAATGAGCGTTTCTGTTAATAGAACTCAACTGTTATTAACAGATATTATGGCTATAGACGTTCACGCTGTGCATGCCTCACGGCAACGCGTATTATTGTAAAAATTCGCAAAGTAAATGATATGAAATAACAAACGTTTCACGTTTGCTATTTCTTTTAATATGCTACTATTTTATAAAATATTGTTATTTCGTAATATTTTTCTTTTCTGTATTTTTTACTGTATAAAAGTAAATGCATGCGCATCTCTACCATGTCGAAATCATTGCGCAATAAAAATGCTTACCCTCTGATCAGGTTTACAGAAAATGGCGTCCATCCTCACACTTTTTGTCTTGCCCTCTTTGGCATTCGAATCATGTAGCTCCTTCAGGAACATTAGCTTCGACTGCAATGACCAATACACGTGTGTTAGCGAGAGGAGTGATTTTCACAACAGCTGGTATTTTGCACATACCTCCAATTATCGGCGAGTTCCAAGCAAAAGCGACCGCAGACGGCATCTTTAGAATCTCCGACAACTAAGTACAACACAACACACTCAACCACGCAAGCGTCCACCACATTGATAAAGAAAAGGACTCAGTCCACCGCGAGATACGGAGCTCATCACTCACACGTATTTACGCCAAGGCACGTAAGGAATATTGCTCACATCGTCAAACATACAGGCGCACAACTACTATCAAACGCACGAATCACTTACGTACCCATTGACCAAACACGCACGCTTGTTCTGACATATGTAAGCCCGTAGTGCAAAAATTACTAAAAAATAAAACCATGACTTTTCCAGCTAGGTGAGTGCGAGTAAGTATAGAGATCGGATTGTGCCGAAGCGAAGCCAAATCCATAACTAAAAGCAGTCGGAGGTGAATAAAACCCAACGAGCAGAACAATACAGATTATGACACCAGAAAAAAATAACGAAGAGAACCTAAGTAACGAAGCGATACGATGGAGAGACTAACTTGATAAAGACATATGAATAAACACACACATATACAGATAGATAGGTATATATATATACAGATAGAGAAAGAGAAAGAGAAAGGGCGCTGTTTTCTTTAATGTCAGGGTGCTTTCCACTCATGTTCGGACCATGTGGAACTCGTGACGGCATCCAGTTGGTCTTTTATGTGATCAATTTTAACCCGTTTATTTTCAGGCACGATTTCTTTTTAATAGAAAGTTTAATAGTGAAGTATTGCTTATCGTATGATATAATTGAGTACATTACGAGATATCAGGATGAGGCAATTGAAGAAAAATTATCACATAGTCATACAGCGGGTTTAAGTAAGGAAACAGCCAAGAAAATTGGTATAACATTCCTGAGATAGAGAAACAAGGTAAATATAGTTATTGGAATTAATTAACATCTGCAAGCCGTAGCGACAAAGAATAATGTTAACTAAATACAATATCTTATTATAATCTGCAAGAATAAATAGACAGATAGACTCTGAGTTAATCATACATTTATAATAGCATGAATAGGAGGATTAGATTAGAGATGTGTGTAAAGAGAAGAAGAAGAAGGTGCTAATTGTTACGGCCTTCGAAATGGAAAAAGTATGGTTTTATGTCAGCACACTCGACTTAAACTAATGAGTATGCTTTGATATGAAAATCACTTCCATTACAGCCACCTGGTGCCGTATGGGATCATCATCGACGACGCAGCGACTTAACAGAAGTTTTATATCAAAGATAGTCGTTCACAAAACTTGCCTTGATCTATACCATACCATACATATCACAGGAATGTGCGAAAATGGTTACGAACATTGAGAATTGATAGAACTCGTGCTATTACATCGCCCCTGTGTTCTTAGTATCGTCGTATTTAAATGCTTGGACCTTTGATATCGTCGCGTACTTTTATCGCGTTACGCCATTATCTAAAGTTTGTCTCGATCTAATTTGATCGATGTATCTATGCGCTACAATCAAGAAATGCGGTAAAAGCATTGTCTGCGCCTACGCATTAGACCTTTTTGTCTTCCAGCATATAAAGGGACAGGATATGGCATTAAACCCTACATCGCAGAGAAAATATCTTGCGTGATATAAATACACATACGCGCATGCGCAGTGCGTGTCTTCTCACCAGCGAACCGCCACTATGAATATGTGTCTACCGATATCAATGAGATGACACGTATATAATATAATATGGGCTATATGCTTCGTAATGAATCATAGCAGAATACCATCATGCGCGCGCGGGTGTGTGTGTGTGTGTGTGTGTGTGTGTGTGTGTGTGTGTGTGTGTGTGTGTGTGTGTTCGTGCTAATGTATTCGTATTTGCCTCATAATAAATATCTGAATTGCTGAGCTGCGAGCCTATAAGGAGCGATACTACGAGGATATAAATGGTATGAGATCGCGAACAAGTTTCGACACTGGTGACCTGGGTCCTCTGCCGCGCCTTCAGAATGGGCCAGCCGGGAATGAGGTCAGCAAGAGATGAACGGCGTTTGAAGCGTCTGGTGGTCCGTGCCCTCGCCGCGTAGTCGTCGTCGTTGTTACATAGTCGCTATATGCGGGCAGGCAAACGGCATGCTCAGACACATCAATACACGGCAGATGCGAGTGTCTGGCCGAGTCGGCTCGTCACGGTGACCCTGCCTGCTCGGCACAGACGCCGCGCATGCGCAGTGCGTGTCTTCTCGCCAGCGAACCGTGACTATGAATTATGCGTCCACCGATGTCAGTGAGACCACACGTGAGCTATGTTCGGATTAGTAGAATACACGTACCAGTCCCGTGATGGCGAAGAAATGTGACCAGTAGACAATAATTGGTTAGGATGATATAGAATATCTGGCAAGCTACGCGACTGACTGTGAAGATTAGTGAGCTGGGGCGCTTAGATGGCGAGCGAATCGATAATATCCAGTGAGAAGGACACAGACATCACCGAACTTCATCGGCTGGTGAAAGCGTGGAGAAATTGTATAATAGAGATGCGATAAACAAGAGGACGATATCAACGTCTTTAGAGTAGATGTCCTTTGAGATGCAATCGAATGAGATATGTGACCCCGGGAGTGACGCGTTCTCGTAGACAGATGACACATGTACATCGCATGCGCATACATCTAAACCTAGACCTAGACGAGACACCCCGAGCAGGCAGCCCCAGAAGCAGGTCGCTGTGCAGCCAACGAAACTGGCAGTTGATGACAGCACCAAAAACCACGCACGATTATAATATCGGCATCACTCAACTAATGGGAATGAGACGAATAACGTCACTTTGTGACATTTGCTGTTGCTATCACGGCAAAGCAATGGCGTGAGAGGGCGCCAGCCCGAGAGCAGTAGGTACTAGACGTAAGATGATGGGTAAAATTGCGTACTAATAATGTATCCACCATTCATCACCACTTCTACTTAACACAGGGATACGATCACTCCATTCATTCAACATTAGTCACTCGGCATAAAAGAAACAGGACGAACAAACACACATACACGTACACATCGTAAATAACGTATTAATGATAAAAAATACTGTTTAAATTTAGGCATAGATATAGTCACACCGTGCTGTTTAATCAGTAACTTTATGAAATTCGTTAATACCAAAGGCAAAATTTGGTAGCGTTTAGTCACACATTGACCAGATATAAGAAACGTAAGTAACGAACACACGACGAAAGAAATATTATAATAAAATATTATAATTGAATATATTTTATATGCAATATAATATAAAATAAATATAAAATAAAACGGATAGGTTAATGTTATAATATCGATACATAAGTAGGGGGCGTTGGGTAGTAAGTACTTACATCCTGGACGTGGTATGGTCAACGAACGTGCCATGTCCAATGAGCAGCATTGGGATATATAGGGAAGCAATGCATGTGGAAAAAGTCAAAACACATATCTAGATTATGTAAAGGTGAGACAACACAGTGTGAATGGCACACAGTCCAATTATAACCAAGAATGCACATGAACGTGTCTGTATATTCTTGCTTATACAGCATGAAAAACTGCATACAGATCGGGCCCCGCTCATATTGACGGACAATAAGTAAGAATTTTAATATTCAAATATATATATACATATATTATACAACGTCTACTTTAACGTCGTACCAATTTCCATCAAGTTGTTCATAACTGAATTTGCGTTAATTCAATTATCTACCTATCATTCATTTACGCTTTAGTGAATTTGTTAAGCTTTACATAGTCACCAAACATCACAAAATTGTGCCCAAATAAATTTTTATGAGTACTCGAGTACAATATATTTGCATGGCTCCAATTTTCTGCTGTTCATGACGATTGATGAGCGTCTAAGATAAATAGCGATAAATATGGCCATCCGCAAGTTTTCCATGCCAAACCTGTACATGCAACATTGTATAATTGTTGGTTAGATTCAAGGAAATGGTCGCCTTATGCAATTGCACCATGCCCCGTGTGCATAGATAACTATTTAACGCCAAATGCTGAGAAGTCAAACATGGGGTGATCGACTTGCAGATATATTGATATGGTCGTTAAATACGCGCAGAAATTAGTAGATTTTATCACGATGGGCAGATGCAATTACCTAAAACGGTGTGGGCAAGGTGTTTTCCTCCCGAACAATATCATTAGTAAACATAACTTTAGTGGTTTGGGTTAGGGTACCGCTAGGTTACTGCTGCCCATATATATATATATATATATTATATATATATATATATATGTGTGTGTGTGTGTGTAATGGGCAAGGGAAAGAGAATGCTTCCAATAACACCGCGCCAGGAACGTTAGCTGAGGGAAAGCGGGCAATGGAGAGTAGAATAAACACCCATTGCATCCCAAAACTATATGCCAACAATTGAGAATCGACTGGCATGCAGTATATGGACATAAAAGTGTGCTATATGTCCTAATCCTTAGATAGACCGGCCGTTTCATTATTCAGCGTAGATTTGTTATAAATTCAACTTCATCAGCGTCTATTCAATAAGTGGTCCGCAACTACTATATCAACATGTTATGTACATCTCGAAGGGCAATCTTTTATTTGTCGAAAGAATAATTAATTCCCACAATACGCAATTAATTTATACTTGTTTTTATTTTATTTTAATAGAACTGGAAAGAGCGCATTCCTACGGCAAATAGCACCGTGCACAAGGATTTATCTAGTGGGCGATTAATTTGACGATGTGAGGTATTTATTTATATTAACCAGGCACGCACTGCAAAGGTTAGAACTACAAACTAACAAGCGCCAAACTCTATCCAATTCTGCGCACGTACACACGCTCACTCTGCTTCACGCCTGCGGGGTGAAAGTCTGCTAAATAATAAGAAACTATATATGTCACGTACGTCTCCTTCGCCCCTCTTATGCCTGCCGACCTTCTTCAGCTCCACCTTCGGGATCTCTACCTGCGAGGGCCGCCTCTCACCACCCTCGCCGACCTTTAGATTCGCGTCGACTGCTGCCATCTGTGCAAGCTCCCATTCCTCATACTCCCGATGCTTAAGCATGCTACGGAAGTCCATACCTCCTTCACCTGATGCAATGAGAGAACAGACGCGCACAGGTCATACATGAAGTAAATATATAGAGGGATTGGTGGCGAATTTGTCATGATATATTCTAGTGCAAACGGATTAAACAGTAGAAGACAGTACGTTTCCTGTTCGGAGTTACTATTGTCCCAGGTAAAACACGTAGGAATCAACCTTACCCTTGTCACTCAATCTCTTGTTGAAAAGTTGCTTGTGCAGGCTAACTAATTTGTAGATATAGATATAGATACACGAAGATTTGGAGTGAATTGTCTATGTGATATATTATTTACAGCTGCAAATGGTTAAACGTATTTTCAGAACTTACACTCAATCATCAATTTAAACTTTTCGGATGCCTCGCCGGCAGGGTTGTCGAGTTTAACCATGTAGTAACCATCGTCAGTGCTTCTCGTTTTCCTCACTTGCATTGTAATGGTGTTCGTATTCTCTGCAAACGGAAAATAAAACAAACTATACCGAAAAATGTAACCACCGGCTTATGTCTGCGGCCTTGCTGCAAGTTATCGCCCGATGCAGGTTAAAGCTACATCGCAATGTCTATGGCATTTATCGACCTTACCTTCGATGTAGTAAGCGTATCTCATGCTGGGGAACAATTCTCTGGATCCTTTGTACCACCTAACTCTGGGCACGGGGTTACCTCCGATCTGTACTGGGATCTCAGCAACATGCTCTGCGGAAATGCAAAATACACGCTTCTGTATTTATCGACAATAAACAGATTGATTTTACATTTAAGTGTCATTCATTGATCCGCAGTTCAAAACATCTCCATAGAAATCGAATTCAGGTGTAATCGAAAAATTCGTTTTCGTCTTTACGTTTAGCTTAAATTGTAAGCATTCCAATATTACGTTCCGCGGTTATCTGTACTAAGCAATGCACGTCACCATATACTAAACCGACGCTTAATTCTCACAACTGTGACCTCCATACCATCCCATCGCGCACACGTACTTTCTTTCGTGACGTAGTTCAGCGGCTTCTCCACAAAATATGGCGCCGTCATTTCGTTGCCAAGGGGCTTGAGCTGTTTGTCCGTGTCGGGCTCGTCGTGATATTTGTGCTTGCACATCTCCGTATTGGTCTCCTTCAGCATGCCGGACTTCTTTCTGTCGATGCCGATGGAGCTGCGGCGACGTCCGCCGAACGAGGCACGTCGGCCGGCTTCCTCGTCCACCGAGAGCGAGTCCTTACGGGAGTCGTGCACTGATTTGCCGTCATCAGCTGAGACGAGAATGGCGACACGTTAACCACTTCTGGTTTACATCTTATTCGTGCAGTGCAGTGAAACGAGGTACGGTCTGAGAGAATGGCGAACATCAAGGGTAACGTGTGAACTTCGCAATCGCTATAGCCGAGGTCACTGCTACTCCCGCCCGTATTACGATGCACCACGTCTGTTCCTACACTCGCCTGCTTAAACTCGCACTTAACATTTATTCTGAAGTAGTGTTTGACATTCATTTTGAAGTAGTGTATTATGCGATGAGTTTATCTCTGTATTATTCCGGCATATGCCGCTGTAACAGGTGCAATAATTATTATGCACCCTCTGGAACCTATCTCCCTGTTATGCCCGGACTATAGTCTATGTATGTTCATCAGTCTCGATGACGTCTTGTTTAACGCTTACGTACCAGTGATCCTGATGTCGACGGATGGTTTCTTGCCTCTACCCTTCTTGGGGCCGACGTCTTCGTATTCTGGTGCAGCCTTGCCGGCGACTGGTTTGCCCTTCTTGGATTTCAATTGCTTTGTATAATAGAACCAGGATAATGTTAGATGGAGCGGATCTATATTCTGTATCACATTATCTTGTCTTTCTAAGACCCAGAAACACAACAGAAACATAGCTAGCAATTATGAATATGAAATGTGCTTGCAGTCACCGTGCACGCATGTTAGGGTCAACATGTCGTAATATACAAGAGCGTGAATGGCAGCTTCCTAAAAGTGCACTAGTATCATCATAGAAGGCATGGCACGGTTGAAATCAAGATACCTATACCTATTGCTTATATGATACTATTTTCCCGTTAATATTTAGAATAATACAAAAACATTAACTTAATGCGATATAATAAAATCAGGTTGGGGACGGATGGTTTAAAAAGGAAAAAGAATTGAAGTAACGATCCTTCATGAGCACTTGTGCATTAACCAACATCTGTGCAATCGAACTAATATTTTCTGTGGTTGACTACCAGTACGTGGCAATGTAAAAACCGAGCAAGCCCCTGTGGTGAGGATCACTATAACACAGCCAAACGCACGCACAGCAATCATATGTCACAGAATAGTTTCAACCACGGCACACTGGCTCTAACTAGCAAGCTTTTGTCCCAGATGACTTTGAAGGCCATACATCACAAATTAATATATATATATATATATATATGCCAGGATACGACAGAACGGAACAAATCTAAGAAAAATAAATATTTACTAATTTTAGGAACATAGCAAGAGTTATAGGCATGGCAATGTATGACCTTAGCAAATGTCACCCAGTCAAAAAGCAGTATGCATCGGTGGTACTCACCAACCACAAGACATCACAGTAATGTCAGGTAGATCACATGTGGTCAGGTTGTCGGGTGACAAGGTGAAATAGAAGTCAATAAAATAATAAGCAATTGTGACATAATGACTAATATAGCATTAAAGCGGAATGGATTAACTAAAAAGAATTTAATAACTTTAGCTTGGTGTAAGTAGATTGGCCAGCATGCATATAGCTGATCATTTTGGAATAAAACTTCAAATGTTTATTTCAAACTATCGTATTTTAATGATTCAACTTTCAAATATTTAAAATAATATAATGGCAAATGTTCAAGATAATTTAAAATAATAAATGAAAAAGGTTGATATTTTATAGTAAATGAAAAACAGGATAAATTATAATAATTACGAGTATTTACGAAGAAAACATTATATGAGAAAGTATAGTCTTTATTCAACGTTTATATTTAAATCTTATACTGCAACGATAAAAAATATAAGCGTCTATATTTATATATATTTATATAGTCCAATCTATTTATACAAATTAGGTTGTTACAAACCTCTGCCTCATCCTCGGGCTATATACCATTCCAGGTCAGTTGAACGTTAGTTAATGTAAAAGAAAACAGAAATGTATTGAGTGCGCGAAAATATATGTTAATGCAAATAATAAATGTAAACATAGCGAAACATTTATAAAATGTTAATAGGTCTATTATGTGGGGCAAAATGCGCAGGATAGGATTTAATAACTAGTAACATGTAAATCCTACGTTGTGAAGAGATCTACCAATCGTACTCTCTCTCTCTCTCTCTCTCTCTCTCGCAACCTCTCTTTCAATCTCTCTTTCTCTCTCTCTCATTCTTCTTTCTCTCCCTCTATCTCTCTCTCGCTCTCTCTCGCTCTCTTTGGTCCTCCTCTCCCGTCTTTCTTTTTCCAATTTCTTTCTCCTATTTGCGTCAGTTCATGATATATATTCACGATTCTGCCACATTTTTAACATTTAAACATTTGACGAGACACTCCTTAACCGCACATAAATGCTGCAACCTAATAAGTAGTGCACAAATTGAAAATCCATTCGGTGCTACTTTATAGTGCTATTCCGCTAATCTATTCATTCCGGATCCGCTTCATGAACATAGGAAATGTACCCGTAACAGAACCTGCAATTCGTTATCTCTTGAGCATAAACTCACGTGGAATGGCGAGGTAAAAGTTGTGCTAAACGTGGGAATTGACTTGTAATATTTGATACGAATAGACATCATTCTGTATACGCACTTTTTTCAACATACCCCGGAAATAAATCATGACATTAAAAGCCAACCCCATCAAGCCGTACATTCGAAATACCGTATACACAGAAATTAAACAACTTACCCGTTTTTTCAAGCCTTCGGGACCGGCATGTTCATATTCGTCAAGCTCAACCTGAAATCACGACTAAAATGTGTCAAGCGTTTGCCGCACAGGAGTTTTCGAAATGGATTCATTAACAAAGGTACAGTTGTGAGTAATACTAATGTCCACATAACATAACAAAAGAATATACAAGCAAATACGCCCGTTCAGAGAAAACATATACATTACATTAAAACGTATAAGAATTAAGTATGTCGCGCAGTATTTCAGAATATTTCTACCTGAATTGCTATCGGAGCCGAAAAGTATTAAATGGGTTAAAAATACACTTGAACTGCATATCGTAGAGTGCTAGAGACTAAACAAAAGGAAGAGGGTTAAACCAGTGAACCAACAAACATATATCCGAATTGTACCATATAGAGTATGGTTGATTTTTAATACCTCCAGTTAATGTTGTTATTTTCAGCACTTCCCACCTAGGTAATATTCGGTTTTAAACGTTATTAAAAAACGCATACCTGATCGAGTAATTGATTTTACTGCCTTCTGTTATAAAATAGCAGGAAGCGTGTATTCAGCGAACAATTCTGATAAAATTGTTTGCTGTTTTTTTTTGCAAGTATAACTGTCGTTTACTTGGAACACAATTCCAAACGAAACGCAATGCGATAAATCCATGTCAAAAACTAACTACATTTCAGTGTAAGCATTTCAACATCTAATGTTGGTGGTTTGTTTTGAAGTTATAACCCTAACTGCAGTTGGTGGTAAAAATCAAGCATATAATCAGGAGTTAATAAAGACAAATTTGTCTTTATTAACTCTTGATATAATGTACATCTTAAACTTCAGATACATGCTCGTTAGTATTATTAATAAATAACACATTTAGAAACTAAAATAATCGAAATTAACTATACGATACGAAAATAAGCAGAGATTAACTAACTGCAAGGCATGTGAATAACAGCCACGGGTGATAAAATAAACCGAAATGCAGAAATGTGCTGGCAATAATAGACGAACGATGGTCGAACGCATACGAAGAATGAGTAGAAAAAATGCACAACTGCACACGATGTCAGTGAAACAGTGGTAGATATGGGTGACACGAGTATGTAAATGAGCCGCGCCAGGTGATGACAACGAGCAGCGGCTCTCGCTCCGATCAGCGCACATGTCTAAGCAGACGATCTGGGCTTGTCGGACATATAGAGGGCGCTCCATCGAGGACACCGCAAAGCACGGCGAGACGATTGTAAGCCAAACCTCGCCGCTGGTAATAGAGCAGTCAGCGAGGTTTGGTTTATCAGTCAGAAAGTCAAGCGATTGAGCCTTACCACACGGCAGGAAAATTCAGTACTAATATTTCAGAGCGCGGATTTATTACATGACTGAAAGTTTAGAGCAAATAGTTGAGGTACTATGGTTTACATTCGGTATAAGATAGTAATAGGGATTGTTTGAAAGGTAATAATATTAATAAATAGTTTAAAACACGATTTCCCAAAAAGGGTATAACAAAAAGGTTGCAATTAATTATGAATACATTTATAATTGTAATTGAAGGATTATAGTAGTTATTTTTAATTGTAACAAAAATCATAATATTGGTTCAAATTTGGGTAATAATTATATACATAAAGGTATTAGCTTGGTTGGGTTTGTGCCATAGCATTAGAAAATGATTCATGCAGTTTCTCGCCAAGCGCACTACGTAAAAGAATAGAAAGAAGAACTATATTTAAGCGGGTAGCGTTGTCAAACGAAAGGCATGTTGAACCCAATGCATTTTAAATATGTAATTTAATACTGACATTATTTAGAAAAAAAAGTTAACAACGTGGAAAGCAATTATTGGTAGTAGACAAAATTTCATGAGGCTGCGTATAATTTTGCATAGACAGTCGATGTTATCCAAAGCGTCAGACCCTATATCATTGATGAACAGTCAGTAACGACAAGCAAACGGTCTGTAATAACAACAGCTGATGTTTCATGCTCGTGAGACGCAAAAATAAAAACCTCCTGTAAGGAATCCCACGTTGAATGAAATCCATACCATTTGCATCGCTATATGTGGTGAATCGTTGTTTCAATTATTTTTCGCAATTAGTGATCAACCGACAGAAGCGAAAACTAAACCAGCAAAGATTATCTCAACGTAGATAATGAATTTTGGGGCGCGTCTATCCTGGAGAACAATTAAGATGTTCAGACTTCAGGCAAATTAACACGCGCTGTTAATACATGTGAAAACCGAACTATGACCGTGATTATTTTTCAATCGCAATGGGATCTAATCGACATATCGTTGTAGTGACAATTATTATCATGTATATTCGTTAACAGTATGAATACATCAGCTGTTGACAGACGAGTCGTTGCATGTCGTCGTATGCTTCAGTGATATCTCCGTACACGCCGGAGCTGACTGCGATGATAAGGATTACTGACGTGGAATAACATTCGATCTCGTCTACCTTCTCCCGGTCCCACGTCTCTGAGTGCCAGGCTTCAAAGCCTACGTCGCTGGATTTCCGCTCGTGGACCTCCGAATGTTTCAGGTCGTGTTCGAAGCCATGAAGGTCCACTGATTCCAGTTCGTCGTGCTCTATTATTCCTTTCACTGTGGTTGCTCGCTTTAGCTTAATCTTAATGACACAATATAACGAAATGGATGGTAATGAGATGAATGCATGCCGTTGTTGTGCCGGATGTTCCCAGGAAAACACTCGCTCGTGACGATTGCATGGAAATGATGATAGATGAATAACATACCGCTCGGAAATGCAATAATGCCGATGAGTGAAAATGTTCTCGTAAGTACCTATTCCAAACACGACACGCACTTTTGAGTTAGTTAAATCACTGCTAGACACAGTAGTCCCTTCGTACGTCTAATCGTAATATATAACTGTTATGCGTACACGTATTTGAGAGACATGGATTCCAAGTAGTCCGAAAACGCGTATAACTGCGTGCCTTTATTTCGCACAATCAGTAATGTGTTAATCACGTGGCTCCAAAGTTATCAGATATTTTGTTATTATATAGCTCACGCTATCTTCACGGATCATTCCCAATCAATATATGCAAGTTAAATAGGAACGCTGCAGGTTTGTGATTATTCGATCTCCGAAGAGCGTTTTATATGCCAAATAGTAATATACCTTATCTCAAAAGGCGCGTGTCGATCCATCTTACATACCATGTTGCATTCTTGCCCCATCTGTAGCGACGATACGTCCTCCGACGGGTGGTTTATATTACAATTTAGACAGTAGATACCCCTATATGAACGGATGACTGACGTGACGTGACGTTGACGGATGATGATAATGACGATAACTGCGATATGACTTCTCAATGAGTGAAAATGCTGTAAGACTACTGATCGTACAAGAAAATGATGACCAATGTATACCTTTATGTATACCCTGGCAGAAACCTCCATTATAGAATAGCACCGTACTGATACCGAAAGTATATATATATATATATATGTATATATATCACAACATAAAATGCGTTGCATATGACTTCACAACAGAAGTGCTTGACCAGTGAGATCAAACGGAGAACAGGTGAAATGATATTATACATGTGTTTTGATGACAGCCAAGAAAGATCTATTACGAAGAAAAACGCCTCTTTACGCATTAATTATTTATGAGAACGAACAAAGTAAGATGTTATAGATGACTCTATACGAGATGACTCGAACCCGGACCAGTGAAATGTGATGAACTTATACGACGCAAACAAATAATGTTCCCGCACAGTACCTTGGTGAAATCCTCAACAAGATCCTGCTTTGGCGGAAGTTGCCTCACTTGCTTCTTGCCTGCAGCAGTAGAAATAATACGTCAATTCTTTCTTTCCTAACCAAACTAACCAACCAAACTATTTTCGTACCACACTACGACTACGCAACATTTATCATATTACGTAAACGAATTTAGACGGAAATAAACGATTCGTATGCCAAATATATAGAAGCCACAACTAATCACATGTAAATTATAAACATCATGGCCGCTCCGTAGTCGTCCTGATCTGCTGACTCACCAGGTTTCTTCGCTTCTGGTTTCGTTTCCTCGGGTTCGACAACAATGGGAATGCCGGCGTCCTGAGCTGGCTTCGACTTCTTCTTGTGCTTCCCCTATACACGTACACGAATCACTGTAAATACATGCCGTCTACTATTTCACGATTCTCCAAAGTGGATAGAGCTAATGTCGTAGCAAACAAGTGGTATTGTGGCATCGACAAGGGTATACACGATACATAGAGAGTGGGATAGGGCGTTTTGTTATTAACACACATAGAAATTAGATGAAAACATCAAACTACTTCGTATATATATATATATATATATATATATATATATATATATATACTATATTATATATATCTATATATATATAGAGAGAGAGATGACGAGAGAGAGAGAGAGAGAGAGAGAGAGAGATGAGAGAGAGAAGAGAGAAATGACGGAATAAAAAAGCACAATAATATTACGAAAGATGACAGTGTTCTTCGTTAACTAGAGAATGTTTATTAGTGTTTGTTCAATGCTTACTTTCTAGCAGGTAAACATTATAGGTTTCATGACCATTATATTAACTTATTATAATCGTTATCGCTGGCAAGCATTATTAGTCTAGCGTGGATTATTTGGTAGTAAATCCTATTAGCATTCACGCCTACATGCTAGCTATATAACTATCACTATTGCCATTTGCACGGATATCTTTTCATTCAACGCACAGCTACGTAGATTTATTGCCTCAAGCGTAATCGTTCAAGACACAACTTTAATAGTAATTTTATAGAATGAGAACGTTATTCCCGATCATTTTGTAGCGTCAATTACGTTACGGTACTGTCCTCATTGGATGTAATTGCAGGAGTATGATCGCACGGTGGCACTGCTGCTACACCTGCCATCGGAAGGGGTGCTGGCATTTGCGTAATAATTTTACTGCTGTGCGATAGATTTAAACGTTCGGCGTAAATTTCGCATTCCTGTCAAAGGGCTCGTTTATTCTCTTCTCCTCTCTCTCTCTCTCTCTCACTCTCTCCTCTCTCTCGCGCGCTCTCTCGCCCCCTCACTCTCTCATACATAAGCGCACGCGAGACACGCCATGAACAAGTAAAACATCACAGTAAACATTAAAGTTTACCATGATAAGAAGTATATTCCAGTTCCATGCGCATCTTTCTATATACTCAGACAATATAATCTCAAGGCGTGACAGAACCAGTAAGATAAATATATATATATATATATATATATATAAATATAATATATATATATAGAGAGAGAGAGAGATGAGAGAGGAGAGAGAGAGAGAGAGAGAGAAGAGAAGAGAAAGAGATATATATAGGGAGATAGATACGAAGATATATATATAGTAGAAAATACATAGCAAGATATATAACGGCTGTATATGCGCGCGGCGGCGCTGTGTGTGTGTGTGTGTGTGTGTGTGTGTGTGTGTGTGCGTGCGTGCGCGCGCGCGCGTGTGTGTGTGTGTGCGTGTGCGTGCATGTGCGAGCGTGTGTGTGCGTGTGCGAGCATGTGTGTGCGTGTGGGTGCGTGTGTGTGGGCATGCGTGTGTGTATGCATTTGTGTGTACGCGTGAAAGCGCGCGCGCGTGAGTCTATTCAGTAGATAAGGAGAATGTATATAAGAACAAAGCTGATCGAAACGTGTTGTATTACTGCTGATTCGGCATCTGGTTACGACATACCCGTGACTTGCCATTCACTGCGGCATCTTCGTCGTCATGTTCCTCTAACAATGGTTCAAGACGGCTAGGTATGGGGTGCTGCTCAATGCAAAAACCAAGCAACCACAACAGATCAAGAAAGCACAAAGGGATAGAGAAAGTAAAGAAATATATAGCGGGTGTGATACAGAGTTAGAAATATATATGTATACTGTGAGTAGAAAAACAAGAACAAAATTATAGACAGATAGGGATTGTAAGAAGGAAAGCGGTTGCGCAAGAACGCGTGCGCGCGAGAGAGTGAGAGATAGCTAGAGAATACGAGCAGCGAGAAAGAAATAAGAGAGACAATAGAGATAAGATATAAGAGATATATATAGAAAGGGAGAAAGAGGTAAGAGAGATATAGACGAAGAGAGAATGCGATAAGAGAGATAATAGAGAATAGAGTGGGAATACGAGTAAGAGAACGCGAGCAAGTAGGATTATTTTCCAAATTTAACAAGGATATGATATAAGAATATAGAAATAAATATACATGTATATTTCTTCGTATACCCTTTATCAGAAACAATGCAGATGCATCACTCACGCGACTGATATGGTGAATCTAAAGGTTTCAACTCAGGAAAAAATCCAATGACGACATTTAACAAATCAGTAGCATTTTGGTTCACTGCAAACGGCTAGAAACGTGAGTTATAAACTCGCCTAACATCGTGATGGGATCTCATCTTTGTACAGACCTCTCTCCACACATTGAGAGTTTCATGCGACGAGGAATGATGTGCAACGGGCACGTGCAACATAATATATACAACACATGTCTCGCGTACTAGCAGCCCACAACGACACAGGTGTGACAATAGTTTCCATCCTCTGCTCACTAACACGATACACGAGCGACATCGGCCACGTATTTACTACTAACGGCAAAGACGAATTCTATCTATACATTAAAAAATATAGTGGTAAATGTGGGGTTAACCAGTGGTAAGTTATTATGCATGTGCGTACGCGCCCGTAGAACTTGCAGGCGACCCTGGCAATAAGCAAGACCTAGCCGGGTTGATTGAATGCGGTCTAGTTTGGTGTAGGAATGCGTATAGGATTTAGGTTGCAATAATATGTGGTTTAGCCGATCGACCATTACCTTCTTTACTTTTGACGGGGCCGCACCCTCAGCGTCACCCACGTGACCCTCTTCGGGGGACATCTCATCTGATTCTTCTTCATCATGCTGTTTGACGTGCAATAAATTAATTATCGTTAGTGACAGCGCATAAATAAATAAGGCCGTACAGTGCCAACTCGTGAAGTCGCCAACAACAGCTGTATACTGGATACTTCTTCAACCAACTGGTACTGTATATAATAATAGAATAAATAAAAAATATATAAACAAATAAATAAATATGTAAATAAAATAAAATAAATAGAACTTTCGAAGACGAAGAAGTGGCATATATAGTATTATAACAGTGAGTGTAACATGTATATACATATTAATGACTGTGCGACAAATATTGCTGATCAACTATTCGAATGCTGATTAGGACTTATTTTAAATAAAAATATCGTTCTCAAAAAAGTTATGTAAGAAATCAAAACGTATTAAGTGCAAACCACCTAAAACCTAGTTTGATTTCCATGCAAACACCAACATATTTCAAACTGGGTTTTAGGCAAATTGATGCGTAAGCAACACGCACGTAGGCCTATTATGCCTGAATGTTGAACACATGCGAATTCTCTATATGTGGGATGTGGGATATATTCAAGAAACCTCGATCGTTCGTAGGTACAGTTCATGGAAAACAGGACCATGCGGTCATTCAACAGCAATCGTAACCAAGACCGGCTGAACACATTTGGATATAAGCAATCTCGTAACTCATGTGTTTAGGGAAAGGTCGACAAACCTCAAACACAGCACAACACAGCATGACGGAATGCCTACATATCTCCTCGACACCGTGTAAATTTTTCTAAGACTACTCTGTAGCCTACGACAGTGCGCTGTAACGTGAAGTAAGAAAACGCAAATCGCAAATATTTTAACGTTAAAAAAACACATAAGTGTAAAGCTAAGTTATTTCCACATCACACAATTAATCTAAATCGGCGTTATGGCCATCATTGCTCTTTTTGAAACTCATAAACGTAAAATAAACGACAATAATCTATCTCGATTTCTTTTAATGGTCTCCCGTGCTCTGTTCAATCAAACGTTTTTAATTAGTCTTATAATGACCTGAGGTTTATTCATTCACTGCGCAGTCTGAACGACGGTACGAAACTTATTATAGTGACAAGGTCATGTAGAATAGCGTCGGAAAACTTTGCCATTGTTGAATTTACCGTTTAATGATTCTGAGATAACAAATATTATTATCGCTTAAAGTTGTTTGATGCAGTGATAGAGTAACCTTAATAGCGACATGTGTCTTTCCGCCAATACAAGCCATCAAGCTTCAACGACCTATATCTTCTGAATTAGCTAGCTTCTGAAGAATTTCTCGTGTGCCACTATTTCTTTTTTTATAATACGCCGCTATCGATGTGTGATGATTGGGTAAATACAAAAGATTACTATATGTAAACCGACGAAATGAACACTAAACCGTAGGCGTATTGTTCTATGTTTCAGAACAGTCTTGGGTGGTTATTAGACGTATTATTATTAATTATTATATTAATTTTCTTGCAAGCGTACACGAACAAGCCGTTTCTATAAACACATCCACACATGTACGCGAATGTATAGCACGCCGAGATAGACACTGATGAGTATAAGGTTACGTCTCATGCTCTCTTCACAAACGAGACAAAAAATGGCAATTGTCATCTACTGTACCTTTGCCGCGTGTTCATCATCTACGACCACCTGCAAAATGATCCAAGAATGTCTTATTAGCGAGTGCGGCAAGATGAGGATGCAACTCAAAACATATGAGTTGTTTTGCAAGACACAGTCCAGAACAAATATGGTCGACGCAACGTCAGCGCCGAATTTCTATCTTCAATTTTATAAATCAATATTAGAGATCTTTATATATATATATAAGGATAATAATAAATAAAACACGATTCAATTGGTTAGTGATTCATATGATTGTTCAACGATTTATATGAGTATGAGTATAGTATTGACAGAAAACTACCGGTTTGTCAACACATTTACATATACTATAAAGATGCAAGATGCATTAGTGAATGTGATGAAGCCTGCATAACGATAGGTAGAGCACAGAATTTGTTCTCACGACTCTACATGTCAAAACAATCTTCTGCCTCTTTTGATCTTTACGCATGTAAGCAGTTGCGCGAACGTGCATGCAAACTTCAAGTGAAGCCCCATTACATTATATGAAACACGTGTTACCTTAACTATATGCAATGTACCGAAACACCAACTTCAAAACAATATTTACAGTGACTCAAAATTGTTGTTCCGGTCAACACGACATATGCTTGGTACATGGGAATCAATATTTACATATATAATAATCACCCGTATTGCATTGCAGTTACGATTGCATCTAGTTGTTTACATTACGAGGTTGTCCCCCTTGTACGTCCAGTTAGTTTTGTAGTATCGAATAACACCGACATTACCAAGATAACAGTTTTTGCAGTTCATTCATATGAGATCTTCCACGGGTGCGCGTTAATTAGAGGATGGTTCGGGGTAACCAATTAATGTAAACATAGCTGATGTTTCCAATGCACGGGTGAATAACATATAACGCGTTGGTCAAGAGCAGAAATCAGACCGCGTCGTGTCGAGAGTTGATCTGGTTCTGCTTTGCTCTTGTTAGCAATCCGTAACTAACATATCATTGATGCATATTACCCATTTAAAGGTGGGGTGGCACCTACACGAAGGCCATGCCATGATACGCCAGGCATTTGTTAGATGAGTTCCTCGTCGCTTTTGCGCGTATAAATATGAGGAACAAGTCTAATAGCCCTGCCTGCTGTAATACGTCATGCTCTAAATGGTGGAAATTTAATCGAGCGTGGTCAATGGTTAATATACCCAGCAGTTCATAATGTAGTGCACACCATGGCGTGCCTCAGATAAATTGAGGTAATAAAATATACGGAGTAAAATTCAAGATGAAATCTGTACAAGAAGGATGTGTTCGACAATGTAGGATTCCGATTGTTAGCATCGCATCCTTAAAGTTTTAGATTTTGCTGGATGAATTTCTCTGGTCTTTTTCAAAGTTCTCCAGGTCTGTTTAAAATTTATATCTCCTATTAATTATCCATTTCTTGCAGCAATTCCAGCTATGCTTGCTATATGCTATTTACTGTCTAACGTATTTTACCATTTAAGTTGACTATACACAAATTCGTGAATGGAAAAGGTTGTGTTCTTTCTAACTTCATGCAAACCTTTTGTTTAATTTTTAGTTGTCGACTAGGAAGTGAATATAAGGTAAAGCGAGAAGGCGAGATTGTGGAAAAATACTATTGCTTTGAAAAACAAGTTGAAGATTGCAAATATACGTAGAAGTAATATATATATATATATATATAAATATATATATATATATATCACTCGACAACCGAAAGCAGGAAATATTACTTTTTTTTATATCGGGGTTTGGTATACTATATAGATACCTTGGTATACTAAACTATAGTACACGAGCTATGCATGCCATAAGACTAATTATCAAAGGGATAGCTTTACTCCCCTTGAACATTTACATAATATATAAAGACTTAACATGCATACAAGTGACAAGATTCTGTCACACAAGATGCACAAATGCGGCAGTACAAGATACATAGATCCCAGCTCTCTTTGACAATATTATCACTATAGGTTAAACTTACTCGCTTATGTATATCACGATGCAACCATTTTCATAAATATGGCGAAAATTGCATCATCTCATGAAAAATCCAGAGGTCACCGGCCATCGTGCCAGTCGACGACGAAATTCATGAGAAATCAGTCAATATCGCCTAATTATTAGGTGCAGCCGTCTACCTGTAGGTTACACCTCACCGAGTAGTGAATACCTCCACGTGGCAGAAAACAAAGGCAGAGAGACCTTAATTGCCACATTTCGGCACACTAGCTTTGTCATGTGCAAACAACAGGCTATTTAGTGCAGAGTACGAGTAGCATGCACTACTAGCCTGCCTCCTCGTCATTTCCTTCACCGCGATGCCCGACTATTATTCTACCTTCGGCACATTTTCCCCCTTAGACGTCGGCGAGTCCCCTTTCACTTTCGTCTCTGCTTTTTCAGCTTCGACTTTATCCGTCGGTTTATCGTGGTCCTTCTTCGCTTCAGTAGGTTTCTTCTTCTTCTTTTTCTCGTCATGCTTCGCATCGTCACCAGTTTTCTTCTCCTTCTTTTTCTTGCCCTTCTGATGCGGTTGCAAAGAAGGCTAGCTTAAAATTTGTGACGAATCGTTCTTCGGATTTGAAGCCCAACCAACCGAGCGTATGTAGTCGGTGAAAGAGTTAGTCGATCGTTTAGACTTAAATAACACGTTATGATATATATATTATATATATATATATATATATATAGTACTGGGATAGTTCGTGTATAGAAAATACGGTATGGAATTGTAGATGAAATCGGATTAAACGTCTAAGAAGAACCCCACTCGAAGTAAATTTGCAGTGAAACACGCATGTTCATGTATTGAATGCACACTAGATCGTAGCGCAGCAGCCAGCAGATGTTGGCCTGGTCAGCGTATGTGATTATTGCTAAAACAAACTGACGATGTGTTTATGAACATTTGTGTGAGAGGTATAAAACGGCTTACAGAATATATCGTTCAGCCTATGAGTAGCCTAAAGATAATAAACCGCGACCAGACTGACGTAGAACGAGAAAGCTATATTGTTTACGCCCGGGTCGTTGTTCATATATTCGGGCTGCTGAATATGGCCATAATGAGTTTAGCTGCAGTCAAAGCTACACGTATTGTTATAACTATGTAAGCAACAGCTCAGTGGTAAGGCCCTATATTATTTTAGCTTAGCTGAAATATCTGTTTAAACGGATTCTAAATACCACAATGACGTAATCAGTTTAAAAAGTGGTACTATATTAGTGCAGGAAAGGTGTTAATTTTATGTTGAATATCAGCTGAAATAAATAACTGCATTCGCTAAAAATAGGAAAAAGAAAACACTCGCGTCGTAATCATCTAACCATTTATAAATATGCTGATATAGAACGCCGTGTGCTGCGATTACATTATTCGCATGGCTACGGCAATGAAGTACGTGGTTTGATAATTTGCTGTCCACGGGAGGCGAGCAAAGTAACGATAATATATATATATATGTAGGAATGTTATTTGAATGAATGGATATGGCGATATGGCTAGTATCAAATATGTGATATCAGATGATATTATGATACATGGCATATTATATTCACGAGAATGACATAGTAATTTATTAATAGTGAAAACGAAAGATTATAGATTATAAAAATAGTTTATGGCTAGCGACACCCTACCTCATGTGGTTCATCTACTCCGTCTTCTTCGTGTGGTGCGGCTGCTTCCGGCTTCTTATCAGCTGGCTTTTTAGCATCATCTGCCTTTTTCTCCTCCTCTGCTGTTTTGATTTCTTCTGCTTTCTTCTTTTCTTCTGCCTTCTTTGTTTCCTCTGCTGTCTTTACTTCTTCTGCTTTCTTGGCCTCATCCGCTTTCTTTTTTTCTTCTGCCTTCTTTTTCTCTTCTGCTTTCTTATTTTCTTCTTCTGCTTTCTTCTTTTCTACTTCTGCTTTCTGCTTTTCTTCCTCTACCTTCTTCTTTTCTTCTTCTGCCTTCTTCTTCTTCTTCTTCTCTTCTTCTTCTTTCTTCGTTTCTTCTTCTTTCTTCTTTTCTTCTGCTTTCTTCTTTTCTTCTTCTTTCTTCTTTTCTTCTACTTTCTTAACTTCTTCTGCTTTCTTCTTTTCTTCTTCTACTTTTTTCTTTTCTTCTTCTACCTTCTTCTTTTCCTCTTCTGCCTTCTTCTTTTCCTCGTCTGCTTTCTTTTTCTCTTCTTCTGCTTTCTTCTTTTCTTCCGCCTTCTTTTTCTCGTCTGCTTTCTTAGCTTCTTCTTCCTTTTTCGCTATCGCTTCAATATCCTCGTCCTTCTCTTTAGACTCTGGCTCTTCGTCTTTCTTCTCCTCTGCAATGGCAATTTCAAACATTATTGTTGAAATACAGAAGAATAAATGAGTACATAATCTGAAAGAACATTTGGGTGATCATAGAGCATAGATGGGTGTAAATAATGAACGCAGAGAATAAGCCATACGTCTTAGTGTAGCCTGTTCACGAGTAAAGCAGCTAATGAAATTATGTATTCCATAATGCACTCCTTCCAATTCATAATCGTCATTGATACCTTATCTTCTTGAAATTATGTATTCAATAATGCACTCCTCCCAATTCAAATTGTCATTGATAGCATATCTATACACTTGACTGATAAACCGTGCACAGAGGCATACACACAAAACGCACACGCGCATAGGCACGAGTGTTTGGGCACACACAACCCAGCCATACATAGGCGAACATCTGTAGGCAGGGCAAGGCGCAAACACACCTTCAACGTTCAGGGAGGCCTTGCAAGCATCCTCTCCTTTGTCGTTGGCGATCTCTACTGTGTATTCACCCGTGTCAGAGCTGCTTGCTTCCACAATGAACAGTCTCAAGGTGTCGTTCTCTTGCGTGATCTTGTAATTCTTTGACGGTTTAATGAGTTTGCCGTTTCTGCGAGGAAAAATAATAATGTATAGATGAACTACAGACTTCTTAGCTAAGCGGATTCTATACGATTTATGTATTGCACCAATACCATAATGCGTGAAGCTAAATTTCTAGCTTAGTATGAAATAATTATGACACGAAAAGTTTCTTCCGAATAAGCTAATTAATGGCAGTTTTAAAAAGGCACGAACAGTAAAAATCGCGTTAATAATCACTTACTTGTACCAGTTGACTTCAGTTGCCACTCCCTTAAAGTTGGCCATAAATGCGACAGAATCTCCAACTTTGGCCTCTTTTGGACGCAGCTTGGTGACAAAAGATGGCGGTTCGATGTCTTCGACCGTTACTTCAGTTTGTTCGTCTTCTTCTTCCTGTACCATCTCGTAGCTCTCTATAACGCGAAGATACACGTGCGAGGAACGGTCTTCTAACAAGCTAAATTAATACCTTTGACACACCGAATTCGGTATTGACCAATGCGCATCAATGCGCATTGATGCGCATTGTAACCGAATGACATAATTCGATTTCATATGTGATATACCGTTGACACACCGAAACAACCGAACGCAAATTCGAACGCAACCGAACGCAAATCCAACAACGCATTCAACAGGATCTTCACGAGAACACCACGTGATTTCATCATCCAATCCCAAACCGAACAGAACCGTGTTGTAAAATTATCGTTGACACACCGCCAAACAGAACCGAACCGAACCGAATCGAACCGTAAGCGAACTGCTCAATCCACATACATATGTGGGTTGAAAATAATGCGCATTGATGCGCATTACAACCGTATCTGGTGTGTACATAACCGCGTTGAAGCGCATCAATGCGCATCAAAGCGCATTGAAAGTTCGGTGTGTCAGCGGTATAATTAATCGGATAGCGCAATTAAATTTGGCAGCGTTTTAGCGTGCTGAAATTTCGGAGATCTTAAATCGGAATGAAATTCAATGATTTCAATCGTTGTCATAATAATGTGGGCATTGTCGCAAACCTCGTGACTTCTTACCTGAGACATTAACGGTCACGGCAGTGTCCGTCTCTCCGTACTGATTGCGCGCAACGCACTTGTACTTGCCATTGTCTTGCACGGTCACCTCTGTGACTTCCATAATTATGATATATCTGCAAGAGTAACACTTTACTTGTAATCGGCATCGTATCGTTTCAATGAGAAAGTCTGTACAATATGTATATGTATATATATATGTATATGTATATATATACATATATATTATACGCCCTCATGCACGCATACACCCAGTTTTCATGAAATTCCCAAGCAAACATTACAAGGTGTGTGTGTGCGCGCGCGCGTGTGCGTGTGTGTGTGTGTGTGTGTGTGTGTGTGTGTGTGTGTGTGTGCGCGTGTGCATGTGTGTGTGTGTGTGTGCGCGCGCGTGTGCGTATGTGTCTGTCTGTGTGTTGCGCGTGTGTGTCTGTCTGTGTGTGAGTGTGTATGTGTGTGCGTGCGTGCGTGCTCGGGCGTGTAAGCTTACCTGATTTCGTCGTCGCCGGGTATCCTGACGATGCGTTGAGTGTGACGGCGGTCTATGGACACCTTGCTCGAATCCTGGAACCACTGGATGTCAGTCGGCTCATTCTTACAGATGATCTCACACTCGATGATAATCGTCTTACCCTTTCTCTTCTGCTTAATGCGGGCGTCGCCAAACTCCGGAGGAGGCTCTGCGGGCGCACTGTGAGTACGGGGGAGAAACACATGTCTAACTATAGTGCCTACTGCACACTCGTCTTATCTGTCATCTCATATACTAACACTGTCTTGCACTTCACTCGGGTTCTGCTATAACTTTTTCATAAATATGGGATGTAGCATGGGAATAAGTGTTCATGCAATCAAACGTATAATGCAGATTTATATTGATTTCATTTGTTATAGGTTCACAGGTTGTCCACGTACTTTATAAAAGACGAGTAAAATGTATTTTTTAAGAGCAACACGTCTGACATCAGGATAGGTGATCGCAGAGAACCTGAATTATTCAAGACAACGAGTACTTTTAAAAAACGAGCGATATCACTCACCCTTCGAAGTTGAGGTTAATATTAGCGTTGGTTTCACCAAGGTCGTTCGTAGCATTGCACTTGTATTTGCCGGTGTCATCTTCTATTACGTTCTATAAATAATAGATAAAAGCATAAAAGTTACGATACATCGTCTTAATTTCTTTTTCTATCGTGTTGTTAAAACTGTTATATTTTTAATTGCATACATGTAAACTCCAAAGCAATAAGGTAACCCTTAAATGCATTAAACTATCATTAAAATACATCCGCGTAATATGGGGTCTAACGAAGCATATGTTGTTCATTACTGGACAGATGCCTCTTGGTTGCTGTTGTTTTTAGAGCCGAACGGCGTGGTACCTAACTATGTGATACTCGACGTACGGCGTGGTACTCATCTATCTGATACTCGACGTATATGCATTAACAGCGCGCGAAAAGGCAAAATGGTCACTTTTATGCGTTATCGCAGTTTATGTGGCTTTAAAATACCATCGTCGCAGTGCACACATAAACAATTCTATTATAGGCGGTGCCTTAAGCATGCCTTCTAATCGGGCGAGCTAGACACGTACTACTATTTCCAGTTGGATAATGTACTCCTCGTCACTGACTGTCGTTGTGATCTGCTTAAAGCGCCGGGTGCTTTCATGAATCAAATCGTTGTTCCTGTACCACGTGATCTTCGCTTCTGGCTTCGCCTTCAGTTGACACTCGACCTTGACATTACGGCCGCTGTCGTCCTGACTAATGCTTGGCTTGGCTGTGAAGACTGGTTTTGATCCTTCCGGCTTCTTCTCGCCTAGAGAATACGGCGCGTGAGACAAGAGATACGAGGTTGGAAGTGTATATTTGTAAGCTATAACTGTGATCAGGTCGTCTAGGAGAAGCCAGCGGATGTTGACTCCACCAGCGTTCACATCCTCAGAAATGACATGTTCATTTTTCCCGCTTGCCATTCATGATGAAACTTAATAAGCAACCGAGCCGTGGAGATAAAGCGCATGTACCTTCGATGTTTAGAGTTAGATTGGCATTGTTCTCGCCATGTTCGTTCTTAGGGTTACATCTGTATATGCCGCCATCGTCAACGCTAGCTTCCTATTGAATGAAAGCACAAATTGTGTTTAGATAGGTACGTCAATCGGGGTAAACTACCAACAAAAACGCATATGCGTGCCCGCGCTTAAAACACGCGTTAGTTACCGCGTAAGTGAATTATCATGGTCAATTTGGTCCAACTAACTGTATCCAATAAGATAGACACACATTCATACATAATGTTGGCTTCTATCCCTGAATTGTAGTGCCAAATATATGTATAATCTTTATCCACATTTTCTATGCAAATGCTAACGAGAATTGCGATATTTACTCAAGTGTCAAAACATATAATGTCTATTCGATTATGATCGCAGCTTTGTCTTTTTAAATGATATGTCTTTAAAAAGCTTGCTTTGTCTATTTAAAAGTTATCTTATATTATACACGTAATTAATACAGAAACGACGAAATATACTTACTCTAATTTCTAAGCGCGCAATATATACATCTTCTTGAAGCTTAAGGCTACTGGCCACTCTGCTGCTAAGCTGCACCACCTCGTTGCCATGGTACCAGGTGACTGTTGGAGCTGGGTCGGACAGGATCCGCACCTCCATCACGATGAGTTTTCCTCCATCCTCGGGAATGATTTTTGGCTTCTCAGCAAATGCTGGAGCCGCACCCTTTGGTTTCTCTGGCTCCGCTGTGTTCGGAGACAATCAATGCGGCTGATTAATGCTTAGGACAATAGCATAAACAAAACTTTTATTCCACCCTAATGCCTCCAATTGTATATATTTTTCATGGGATGGTCACATTACGGGCCTGTTCTAAACATCTTATCACAGGAAGACCAGGTAATGCAATTATCAAAACATAGCATATCCATTAAGCATAAAAAAGGAACAAACATTTCTATTGAACGCACTAGGTTACCATTAGCTAATATAAAGCAGATTATGATATCAATATCCCTGTTTATTAGTAAAGGTAAACGGACTCAAAAGAATTACCTTCAAAATTGAGAGTCAGGTTTGCATTGCTCTCTCCGAACTCATTAGTTGCCGTGCACTTGTACTGGCCTCCATCAGCTGGCTCGGGGTCCTTGATAGATATGAGAGCATTATATGCCAAAAGAAAACCTCATTTTTACAAGGGGTTGGTTATAATCCTATATGCACCAATATCGCTTAGATGCGTGTTTGTCTATATTTAATTTCGATAGGATGTTCAATTGCTATTACCCTGCTTATTTTTTCTAATTTAAAATGAGAGAAACGTAACGCGATAGAACTTTAGCTGCTGTTTGTGACTCAAACTATGTTTTAACTGTTTATTTAATTCAATATTAATTTTTTTTTAAGTAGTACATACCCTTATTTCCATCTGTATCGTGTAAACATCGTCACCATCTGGTGTCATTTCGATGGTAATGCGACCACCGGCGTTTACTTCCTTGCCGTTTTGGAGCCAGACAAAAGTGGGTGCCGGCTTGCACTTTACTCGGCACTGCAGGGTAATCAAACTGCCATCTTCTGATGGAATGATTTTGGGCTTGGATACAAAATTTGGCGCATCCCCTTTTGGCCCATTCTCTTCTGGTTCGGCTGAAACAAACAATGTCGTACAATATACTATTCAAAAAATAGAAAATGGCAACCATTGCCAGGGATAAAGGACACTGGAGGACGAGGACAAAGGACTGGTCCACTTTCCTATTAAACCACACAAAAGACTAATTTTGTTTCGAAAAATATTGACGTTTTTCACGTTTTTACTAAGTAAGACGTACCAGCGAAATTCAGAGCAATATTTGCATTGCTCTCTCCTTTGTCGTTGACCGCATTGCATTTATAGGTACCGCCGTCTTGATCTTGTGGTTCCTACATAGGAGATAGGAAAAACAAATGCTGGTAGCATTAATTAAAATTAAAGACGACTATTGTGGCGCTAAAGTAATATACACAATATATAGTTTGTGTATGGTCTGTAGATTCATCAAAAGTGGGAACAATTTAAAGCAAAAGTATGCAATGAAACCCCCCATATATGGCATTTTGATATAAATTCATACCGTCGCCGTTATGAACTATAGCTTGGCAATAATATAATAGTCCGTTATTTAACTATGCTGGCTTATCCGCCGATGAGGTGATAAATCTGACAACTTTGTATAAACATGAACATAGGCGAATCTGCTTACCGTGATCACTAGGGTTACCAGGTACAGGTCGTCGCCGAGGCTCTTCGACGTCATGTGGAAGCGTCCGCCTTCCTCAACAAGATCGCTGCCCCTCATCCACGCTATCTGCGGGGTGGGATCTGCATTCACCTCGCATTCCATGATGAGAAGGTCACCCTCCTGTCTGATGGCAGGCTTCTTCGTAAACGAGGGCTTCCCTGCAGTTGCCGCTTCATCCTCATCCGCATCAGCTGAAACGATCGTTCGAGAAGATTTATTCATCTACTTACAGGCTGTCTACACACTACAGAAAAGCTCATATCAAAAAGGAAAGTAAAGCTCACATTCCTCGCATCTCATTAGTATAGTGGCACTGACGTACTCATAAACAAATGTCTAATAAATAACAGATTATTAGAGCGTCATTCGTTAAACTAAGTATGAAATAATCACTAGGCAGAATCGCAATAAATTTCATAGGTTTATCTATACTAACCTCACTATTGCAAAACCCCTAGTTAGTTCGTTATTTTAGAATTGCGATTGCATCGTATTACCTTCACCAGTGCAAAAATCGCATAGAGCGTATTCTCCATAACTATATAAGCATTGTCATTTTTCAGATAAATAACGTGCCCAGCATAACAACATAACATGACATGCTTTTATTGTGAGTTTAGTTTGTCATTTTAGGGCCTGGAAAGCCGTTATATTTTGCGTATGGTTGTTCGTCAGGCGGCCTTATTTTCTTCCAGCTGCTGTCATTCTAAACCAATTGCCGAAGGAGTCTAGGCACGACTTGTTATGTCCCAACTCAAAGACTACCGAAACTAGAACCCTCGGCTGTCTAATTTTAGGTCGGCACCAGCTATAATGCATTAACTGGCGGGAAGTGGCCACAAAACCAAGCTACGTTGGGTGCGGGCGTACGTGGGTGCGGGCGTGCGTACGTGCGTGCGCGCGTGCCTGCGTCCATGGATTCCGTGTGTGCGTGCGTGTGTGTACATGCGTGCTTGTGTGCGTGCGTGTGAGCGTGATATTTTATATAGACCTACTGTATGCACAAGTGCTTATTTTTTTAAGCTGTGCATACGCACTTTATGTATTCGGCGTCGTGTTCGCGGGCTGCGCGAAGGGTGGAAGTAAGAAAAAGTTCGTCAAGCTCTGCTCCGAAATAGGCCAAACGACAACATCCCGTCGACATTTGGCGCTAGTTGGTCTCTGTCGGGGCGCGCTCTCTAAATTCCACATGGCTTCGCGGCTAGGTCTATATTTAGCATCGCTGTAGGGCACGTGTCTTAACGGAGATACTGTCACGGGCCATGTAGATACTGTAGATGTATCACGGATGCGGATCGCGTCGTGTTCTGCTCGTGAAGGCGGGGATATCGTCTAGCATATATAGTACATAGTAGAATAGCACGCAGCACAGAGACCGTAGGAGCGAACATTCCACGCGTACGATAGCCTGCAGAATGTATGCAGGGCTCTTGTTTATCTCCTCGCGAGTAAGTCGGGCATAGATCGAAAGAAGACCGCCGACGGCATGCTCAGCACTTGTGATGCCATTAAAAGATAGAATTACCGTAAACTTGGTGTATAATTATTCTTAATTGCAAAGGATAGTTATGCGCTAGCTAATACGCAATAAAAATGATGATGATAATAATAACAATAATAATAATAATAATAATAATAATAATAATAATAATAATAGTAATTATTATTATTATTATTATTATTAACATTATTATTGTCATCATTATTATTAACTGCAGTATTGTTGGTGTTGCTATTGGTGCTGTTATTAATTTCACACGTCTAAGATATCACGTATGTATTTACTTCCTTCATTAAAAAATCCATGCATACAACAATACATGGATATTAATCACACATATTTACGTCATAATTGCATCAATGTAAATTATGTTTAGTATGCTTTTTAGTCCGAATTATTCTCAGATCAAATTGTGAGTGAACTTCTATGTGATTAATGACGCGACGATGGTGATGGTTGGTGGTGTGATTATATGGTTGATGATATATGACGATTGGGGATATTCTATTTTGCGCGTACGCGCATGTGCGAGGCCCTACCAGTTGTACGTTGTGCATTCTACACCATCTTCAATATTAATTGGTGATGGAAATAAACCTTCGCCTTCCGCCGTCCTCTGGTAAATATTGAGAACACGTGTGAAGGCAGCTAGCCCGGTCTGTAACTATTTAATGTGGAGAACCATTTGATTGAGCGGATACAAGAAACAGTGTCGAAGACTTACAACAACGGGCGATTCTAATCTTTTGCCGCAGATGAAAAAACACGTTTTTGTGGGCCTCTTGACCTTGAGGTATTTCGAAGAAGCATAGAATCTCTGTGAATTTCTGTACTAACATTTTGCAAGGCGTTTAGTTATATTATGGGTGCATTATGTGTAAATATCATCGCTGGGGCGATTCATATCTATTCTCTGCTAAAAATTTCTTGTCGCCTAGGGTAAAATAAAAAATATAATGTGTGCAATATTGCGACGTAATATAATTCTTAGTATTGTGACCTCATATTTTCAGTTACGTTTCAGAGTGCTGACACGATTTTCACATGTTTGTTTAATCATCTGTAATACATAATCGCTTCACTCTCGTTAGACAGGTTCTAACCAATTTTAATCAAATTTGATCACTGCACGCAGAATACGTTTTTATATGATTATGAGTCCACATTAGTGCAACGCGTGTCAACTCAAACCCACCATTAAAGAATTACTGGGGGATTTGCGGACGTCTTGCAAACAGCTTTGATGCAGTGCAATAATGAGCTAGAAGCAGTCGTATCGCGCTTGTCTGACTCGTGGGACCCGAAAATAACGCATTTTCCACGGCGCATAGCAAGTCCGAAAAAGTCGATCACCCATACGTGTGACCCCCCCCCCCTCCTTCCGTGCAGGACCTGTGTCGAACATTCGTGTTTTCCCGCACATTAATCTATCGAATTATACACAAACTAGGCATTTCATTATACTCTATCATTTGTTTAGTGTGAAAAATACGGATGTCGTCTTTCCACGGCCTTGTCTGCGCCTGCGCCAGAGACGGCCATATTGTTACAACGACGGCGTCTAAGGCAAATAAACTTACATGCCATTTTTGAATCTAGAACACTGCATGAAAACTACATTGCTTGGTCCGTGGAGCTGTTGTTGCCATCGTGGCTTGGCAATAGATTAACCATCGCGGCTGAATTATGAAAGGCCTGCGCACGAGAAGAAGAGGAGGATGCTGAGGGCGGTCTACGAAGCCAAACTAGGCGCTGCGCTTCCTGTGACGAGCAAACGCGCATTGCTAACAACTGACTCACGCTGTCCTGACTCCTATTAATACTTTGCGCAACAACAATCCCGTTTACATATTTAGAAACACATGCGCAGTACCAGTGAATACGCGTTGCGCTGGTGTGAGAGAGAGTCCGAGGACAAAATGCTTATTTAATACTAATAATATACGCCTTGCTCAGCGTCTGCATAGTTAATTGCGGCGAAGGTATTTTTAACATCGAGTATATAGTAGAGCTAATCTTCTCAAGAAATACAAGTGCGCTTGTCTCGGGCCATTTAGTTCCCGTATTTGCGGGACATATACTGTCTAACAAACTGCCCCGCTGATTCCCGGACCATATGTTGTATTTCACACATGCTCATCGGTTTACATTGCACGAGCCCCAGATATCCGGAAGGGAATTTGACCCTAAACACGCCAGCTATGCTGTTTTGTTGACGTTATAAACAACCGCCGGTCATTCGTGAGTAGGGGACCTACGGTCAGCGATTTATATTTTGTTCAGTTAAAAACACTCAACGGCTTTGGTGGGTACTGTAATATGTCGCGTGGCACGGCGCAACTCCGACGAAAAGATTTGGTATTTCGACCGATGCAAGAGCAGTGTTCGAATAAACGAAATATCCCGGAATTGAGATTAGCAAATCAACAGCGTTTTCAGCAAAGCATTCTTTGTTCGATATGAGTTTCAATGTACCTATTAATCGTCACATTCCGCTTGCATTTGCCGTAGCGAGGTATTTTCAACATCGTTGTTCGTACTACCGTGAGCTTATATTGATTACAACCTCATGCATAAGCGCCCTTGTGATATGTCACCTATAGAGACTGTGGACACACTACGCGATTTTTCATGCGATCTAGGCGGCCGGCTCAGTCGTGCGACTCTGTGGGCACACTACGCGACTGAGTCGGGCGACTCTGTGGATTTTCAGCACGCTGATTGGCTGATAAATTGTACAATCGGCCAGCTCAATCACAGACCCGGGCACACTAGGCGATTGCAGCCGACCGGCTCAAATAATTATCAAACATGTTTGAATCGGGCGACTCGGCCGGCCGACTCGAAAATCGACCGCGACTCACTGGACACACTACGCGATTTTTCATGCGATCGAGCCGGCCGGCTCGGTCGGCCGGCTCGATCGCATGAAAAATCGCCTAGTGTGTCCACCCCACAGCTTTAAACGCAACTCATTATAGTAATACACTTACTTCCGAAATTTAGATTTATGGTGGCATTGCTCTCTCCGAGGGTGTTTTTGGCGCTAACTCTGTACTTGCCACCATCCTCTAACGCAATGTCTGTAATATCCAGACCGCACGTGTAGGAGTTGCCATCCGTCTCCGTGAAGATGTGATAACGACCTCCATCACTGAAAATGAAAAAAAATACATCAGACGCCATATCGGATGTTTGAGTCTAAGAGCTTCTACAGCTGTCGGTTTACGCGTAAATGTGTAAATATTCCAATCTACAGGAAACAGGAGGCGAATCTCATGAATAATCCAATGGCAGCATAGTGATTAGATCTGGTGCTAGTGTGCGGCTCTAAACACTTCGCTCTTACCTCAAGGCGTTCTCATTGTGAAACCAGCTGATGGTCGGTACTGGATCTGCAAGTACGCGACAACTGAACATGATCTTGCTGCCATCGTCCGCCTGCTTGATTTGCGGCTTTTGAGCGAATTGGGGCGCAATCCCGTCCCTGCAAAGAAAGCAATCCACGCACGTAGTACGATTCGAATAATATCTACAATCTTAATAAATTAATATGTAATATATTTCTCTCTTTTTTATCATATGGTCGGTTTTTAACTAGGCCGATCTGCTAGATACATGCAGATACAATGCTATTTACATGCCCAGTAATGGGCGTTATGATTGGATAGACAAAGAAATAAGGAGTGAGTGCACGCACTTGTGAAAACCGCCTGATGTCGTTTTATACATGCCCGATAGCAATATGCACCGATTAGGGTACGTTAGCCAAAAGGGGACGATTTTCTTAATAGGATAATTTTGTCATTGGTCAACAAGGCTGAATGAAATCTCTCCAGGGGCAGCTATTCGCTGTTATCTGCATAAACTGGCCAGGTTTTTACTATTCATTGAGCAAAGTAAGGCTACGAAGAAATTAGTGAATTATGAGATATGAGGTGATAAGCAAAGTAGCATGAAAATTCACGATCAGGCGACAGAGGGGATTGAATGCATACTGTTCGTGGTCAGTTTTAATAGATGCAGTAAATATTTGTGTAGTACGGTAGCGTAAATTTCCGGGAAATGCGACAAATATACTTAATAGCATATTATTGTTCGTATAGTATAGAGTTATGACGCACTGCTAAGACAACACTCTATTTTTACTTAGCCGCCTATCGGCGGGTGGCAAGCGAATTCCAGCGGCGGTATGTTTATTCAAAACGGGCGATTGTTTACGAAAAAAACACGCGGTTCTCCGTATTTGCATTACGATATATGTATGCTTATCAGTTTATACTAAATCACCAAAAAACTTAACTGACTTGCTTAGTATATGTCTCATCCCACAACTTGTAAGTATCTCTTAATATACCTTCGTTATAGTCGCGTCATATATGATTGAAGTAGTGTTAATGTATCATCTGTAGTTTAGTTCAATGCTACTTGCTGATGGCATATATACGATATATATATATAATATGTGTGTGACGCTCCTGTGGTCGTGTGTATGTGTGTGTGCGACACACAACCTCGTGTGTGTGTGTGGGGCCCGCCCGGCCCCCTGTGTGCTGTGTGCTCGCGCCCCCCCTGTTTTTGCCCCCTGCCTAAGACCCTCGCCCCTGTGGTGTGCGACGTGTGTGTGTGTGTGTGTGTGTGTGTACCTGCGTGCGTATGCACATGTACTTACTTGCGTGCATATTGTATATGCATGTATATGACATTTCGTATAAAGAGTATAACAGTGCTAGTCATTTGATACTCTGGGCATTGCTAAGAATGGTTGAGCCGAATACAAGCGAAAATGTACGACTGCCACTTTGAAACGAAATTTGTATCGGGTATCCCTGAGAAAATATCACGCAACATGGTAGAATCTACACATAGTATAAGCATGATAACATCACTATACGATGTTTATCGTTACACATATACTTGTATAACTTCTACATTTGCGTCTTGGGATATTATTGCCTCTTTGGCATCTATGTAAATTCAATGTAAATCTAAGAGTCACGCAATATGCCAGCAAAGAATCATAAATATGTGTTCCTGCCGTAGAGTTTAATCACGATAATGCCTAGTAGAGATTTGAACCCAGACCTATTACTCAGAACCGATTACTAAGTAAATTAGTAGCATCGTTTAATTACCATCAACTGAGCGTCTGGTATACCTTAGCGATAAATCGAATCTAAGTAACTGCAATCAATGAACTAATTTTAACGAAACGGTATACAAATGCGAGGAATTAATCGATAGATCACTAAACACCCACAGTCCCAGAAATTGTTATATGATAGCTTGATGTTTTTTATGTACTTTTAAAATGGCGTGTTATATAACTGTTAAGCATCACCGATATATTTGGCGCCGAAAGTTTCGTAAAGTTTTTAGCTCGTCCATAAATACCGTAGCACGCCATAACGTTCCTTCGTCTTCGTGAGATCTGGTCTAACCATATTATGCTATACCCCTAAGTTCATTCCGACTCATTTCATTCCCAACGTATATGTTTAGACCAAAGCAAAATGCGAATGGCAAAAAGAAAACAAACCGACAGCTAGCCACGTGCAACGCTATGTTTACAAAGTGCGATACTATCTGCAAAATATCCCAGGCGCCGGTTTTCCTGTTCCTTCCTCTCTTTCAAGGAGATTCCAGAAGTTATTCAGGGCATTATAGTATTAACAACGCATATTATAGATTAGTTTACTAGCGTTACGGTCACTCATTCTTTCCCGGCCTCCCCCATTCTCTACCGTACCCCCTGTAACACATATGAGTTTAATAATTAAATTATTGTTCCAGATGTAATCAGAACGCGTCGGTTGCAGGTAGGCCCAACTATTATTACAACATAGGATATATAACTGCCCAGTTGTATTATATAGTATAATTATTTAATTCTTGTTAACGTTTTTTTTGCATCACAGTTTAATTCATCTAATATTTTCTAAATGCAGAAGTACAAATTACTAAACATTTCGAGTGGTAAAAGAATTCTTCATTTCATTTCGAGAAGCATTTAAGGTATAATAATGCTCTGCAACATAGGTTGTTGATTCGTCACTCATCTCTACTGTTCTCGAAATGTACGCTACAAAATGCAAGTAGTCGTGCATCGTCCTTATATTACGTCCATATATCATCATATATATACGTATACGAGCGTCAAGCTGTGTAAAATTGATATCGACTCTCAGCAGGGGATCTTTCGTCGTCATTTTCCCCAATTTTGCTCAAACGAGCCCATTGAAAGCGCATATATTGGTTCAGTAGCTTACCCTGTCTTATATAAACCACGCAGTGTCTAAAAGTACGAACGCAATTTACCGAAGTACGCGAAGTACCACATTTCAGATGCAAACATCCGTATGTTTTACTTACACTATTATATTATATTATTGTATTATTCATTATGTATTACACTATCTCTGCTTACCAATCACATAACAATACATCTCCTCCTGCTCTAAGAGCAAATACAGTCGCACGTGGGCCTAGAAATTTGTTGTAAATTATATGAAATATGTTAATTATGTGAATTAATCGTAAAAGCGAAAAAGAAGCCACTGACACAGGAAGAGCGACCACATATATATATATATTATATTATATATATTTATATATATATATATATATATATATATAATATGATTATCTTATTATTATTATATATATATTATAGTAGTATTAATATATATAATTATATATTAGAGCTAGAGAATGCATGATGAGCCGTGGAGAGAGCGAGAGAAAGCGAGAGAGATGGAAAACAGAGGACAAGTTGAAGATGAATCGTTCCATGATGGTGCATAATGACGCAAATTAAATGACACTTTAACATTACAGCCTCCGCGTCTGTTAGATATGTTATGATTCTACATAATCCGAAGACGCTATGTCTATTATATTGACCCTGGTGGTGTTTAGTCAATTATGTGCATTGCCTGTGCACCCTTTTACCTGGAACTTTAATAAATAATAGCGGGGTCGAGTTCTTTTTCTTTAGGTGGCTTTTAAGAAACCGAATTCTTTTCATTAAACTTTTCACAGTTTCAAACTAACATTCACAGAAGCCCGATTGACATAGTACGTGTGGACGCGTAAAATATACTCCGTAACTATGCGTATTTGAGCATTAGCGAGGTCTTGTTCATTCGGCGGAGACTAGGAGCCGTATTAAAACCTTTCCATAGCCTCTCGCTGGAAGCAAGTGCGGTGCCAAACTCCACGACAGATGGCGCTCTCGCTCTCACGAGTATCCTGAGTGTACGATAGGGCACTGCATGCAGTTTGGTGCGGGGCTAACCCCCCCCCCCCCACTACTATTACGCGCCTGCGCACATGTGTCCCGCGATTACGTTTCTGCACGTTGACGAAATCACGCGTGACCTTGTTTCGCGACAGCGATGGTTTAAAAATGTTTGCGCTTCCGAGCGGCAATTAGGCGCGTGGCTGGATCTATTTTATTATTTAATTTGTGTAAATCGCGAGGCATGTCCGCGGCACCGCCACACACGGCGAATGTCCGGTTTGCGCGCGGATTGATCTCATTTGTATGGCCAGAAGGCATCTGGGGATTAGAAACGTTAGACGGTGGCTAACCGCTAGGAATTTCTGGAAATTCTCACCATGAAACCGGAAATTCTGCCGCCCTACTTTGGAAACGATTACACAAGAAAATAACGATGTGAACGGGACTAGGGGGAAACAGCATCACACCTACTATAGTCCGCCGTGTTAACCTTTCATCAACGCATTACCTGGTATGCATAATTAATTTATGGATATTGGAAAACCACGCATGTCTGTCGATAAATGAGCAAGCGATGTACTTGCATGAACAGGATCGACAGGGCGTAGGTAGTACGGTTACATAAATAATTAAGCTCAGCGTGCGTTTCACATGAAAATAGTAATATAAGCTCATCATTAACCAGTGCATAGTTTCAAGCCTTGGTCAGAGATATCGGCCGATGGCAAAATGTTTAGCATTTTTTAACAGAGGTAAAATTTCCAGAAGGGTGACATCAAGAATGTTGCATGCAGAACACATGTAACAATCACCTACCCTGCGTCTGCCATTGCTGGTTAGATCACTATGCACACATCCAACGCCACGCCGGAAGACCAGGCTCTATTACCGGGGGAAGCTGTCGCCTCACCCCAACGTGCAATCCTCGGCTACTGCAAGAATGAATGCCACCAGGCTAGCTCTCAGCCACTGCTCGACACCACACGATGGATGTATTCCGGTCTTGACAGCTCAATAACACAACGCCCGCCTACACTCCTGTGCACGCGAGAGATGTAGAAAGAGAAAGAGAGAGAGAGAGATAGAAAGTGTGCGTATAAATCCTAAATAATCGTAACTTGTAGTCTTCACACACTGAGGACACAAGCAGCCTAGTTATATCCAAGTGTGACGGAGGTTGGAATCCGGCTCGTTCAACCTCACTTTGACTCCATGGCGCACTGAGGCTCTCCCGGAGCAGACCGCTTAGCTTTCAGCCTTGCAGTGACTGCCGCTTCCTATATGCTCGGCTGCGTGCTCACAGCAGTGAACAGCAGAAACGTACTCGTGAAACTTTATAGGCTACATCGTCTCCCAGCAAGGCTATAATTAGCAGAGCGCCCGTGCTATTTGTGGCGCCCGCTCTTCAACGACTGCAGCATCCGTCTGCCTCTCTTACTCGCCGGTCCTGATGCGGGCAAATCGTTACCTTCAAAACTGTATTTTATTTACCATTAGTAAGATCAAAATGTGATTCTACGATTTTGGGGCCGAGACAAAAAATAAAACCTTGTGGGTGTGTGTGCTTCTAACGTTCATTGTCAGAGGGCACGACAATTCCACTAGTTTCCACGAGCGGAAATATTCCGGTGGCTTTAATTAAATACACGCCGTTGACAAGCAAGCGACGATTAGTGGCATGGTTGTCTCAAATTCTTAACCTAATTACCGAGTTGTCAGCGAAGCAAGAAAATAAAACGTGGGATACGTGTGTGGATTTTACACGTACGTGGGCTTTCGAAGCATGTACGGACGTGAAATTTAAAATCAAGTGAGCGCGACTGGCACAACAAAGTTTAAGTACAGAACCAAATTTAGGTCTACTGTGAATAGTTGATTGGTGCGTGGCAACTGGCAGTATATTCGTATATATTTCCGATACGTCAGTCCGTGACGTTTGTACACTTTCATCGCGCAAACACATTCCATAGCGCACGACTATTCGTAGATGCGCGGCTTTTTGTTTCACGCTTTCTCTATGGGATGCAAAGTGGGTCTGTGTGCAACTGTTAGTTGAAACCATCTTTTCTAACTTGATCCCATCAATCGCCACAACGATTTGTGTGATCTACTCGAGTCGTGCATTCTATTTAGAAGATAGTAAATGTAAATCGAAAAAAAAAACCGGAAACTAGGCGGTTGAAAATACAGCCCGGATTTCTAAAGATGAAAATATTTGTCGTGAAAAATAATTTTATAATGGCACCAGGTGTGCTGTCTTTGAGAATTGTCTGAGACAGCTGATTGAACGTGGCAGCAGCTGAGGAGCGAGTGACTGCGCCAATTTCCCACCGTGTTTACCCCTTAAAATATATAACACACATACATAACTAATTTATTTGGATCCGCGGCGTTGGAATTGGGCTGGCGAAGAGCACCTGCAACTTCCGCGTGTTCTAATAGAGAGGCCGAGAAATTTCATGGATGACAGTAAGCGCACCGTTGTAAACAATTAATGACAGCGGTAATGACATCATACACATCATCGTTTCCGAATAGCCCATTTTCGTGAATGTGCAACGGTTGAAAATATTATCTTAGGAATTATAGCATTATATGTTTCTCGTCTGCTGTAGGGGGGGCCTACAATAGTTTATTTTCTCGTACAGTATGGTGCGTCATTATCTCACTAGGCCAACGTCTACAGAATATAAAATATTCGGATTTTTGTTAATGGACCAGATAAAGTCGTTACAGTAGAAGCACACGGACGGACAAGATTTTCTTTATAACAACAATGTGGCGAAAATTTATAGCTGAAATTCAATAAAGCAATTGTTGTTGAGCATATGGAATGATCTTTGCTTAGTGTTTTTTTACCCTGCAAAAACGCGATGCTACATGACCTTTACAACATTGATGGTATTCGCGTAGGCGTTAGGGGTGGGGTGCAGAATTAAGTTAAGTATGACCTTGTTTTCTCTCGCTTCTTTGGGTTTAAAGTATTGTTAAAGATATTGTGCACCATCTTTCTCTACCCCCTCCCCCCAAGACATGATAAGGAAAATATGTAATTAGGTTTCAAAAGCAGTTTAATTTGTATATAACTTCTATTCGCATGATTTTTGATAATATATACGTATATGTAATTTATAAATAATATATACTGCTATACGATATAATTTTAATACTATTTAAATGAAAACAGTAATCAAATTAATTTGTATTTCACCGTCAATAAACCTTAACCAGAAAGTTCGTTTGTGGCACATGCACTCATTTGTTCATTAAAACGGTTGTTTCACAATTAGTTTTCCGACAGATCTTAATATTTGAATAGAGCATCGGCGTGGGGGGAGAAAATTAAATAATCAAAAGTACTTTTACTGTGTCAACTGTGTTTTGTTTAGCCTGCATTTACTCTTGCCAATTTGTCAAACAAAATTATTTCAAACTAATTACGAAAACCAAAGATATTCGTTTTCTCGAGCGTGTGTTGCATAGTGACAAACATTAGCGTAATATTTATGTAGTTTATCATTTAACATAGAGCGAATATGCATGAATATTATTAAAATATGCCTGCAAAATGTGATTTATGATGTAAGATTTTTTGGGTTGCAAAACGATACGTTTAATCGTACGTAATTAAGAGGAAATATAGGATCACTGCTGTAAGATGCGTGGGATGTTCGGGATTATGTTAATGATTACCAGCATTTATTATTATGCTAAGGGTCAATCGGCCACGTTTGACGCACTATATTTTCTCCCCTGCTCCGCCCATGTATAGTGATTCTTTTTTGAAATTAATAGTCATTAACTTAAAACGAGTGCACCCTGCGTGCTCAGAGGTGCGCGGGAGCACTGAGGGACAAGCAAGTGTGTAGGCAAGGCAGAGCGTACTGATCGTTTTTATGAGCAGTGTTATACAAATATTTCCATAAACTTCATCTTAAAATAAACCGCCTGTTATTTCCAATAATATCTGTCCCTCGATCCAGATGCTACATTTTGTTAGCTAGCTACACATGACAGCAGCAGATTTGCGCACGTGCTACTACGGCTATGCCTAAATGTTAAAAACTACGTCTCGAATGTTGGTTACTTGCAATTCTATTTATACGTTCTTCTGCACTCTTGCAATCTAAGGCGAGGCTTTACGGGAAGCTGCGCAAGAACACGAGATAAATAATGCATTTTAAATTAATATTATGCTTAAAATTGTAACACCGTAATTTCCATCATTTATTGTCGAGTGCTGGCTAGTCAACTGACCAGTTGATGACGTTGAAACTTATAGACTCAACATGTAGATAACTTTGATCAATAATTATTCATAATGTACGTAGTTGTCTCTATTACGATTTACCACTTAGTGATGAAACGCCGACACTTTATACACTTAGTTTAATTGATATTTTGGCACCACAATGAGATTTTTCAACAAAATTCTTTTAAAATATTACTGATACACATTTACTGCGAGCTAGCAAATGAGATCTCGCTCCATCTCCCCGCAGTGCACTAGAATCCAGTGACACACAGTTTACGATTCTCGGTTGTTAGTCACAAGTCGGCACAATGTGCTCTAAGTAAAAACAAATGAAACCAACGGTGCCAATGTTACGCCGCAAACAGTTCCACTACTTGAGATGCATGGTTAGTCTTTGGCAGCGTGAAGTGGCTCGTGTATTATAAGACACAGGCCGCACATTCAACGGCAGTGTTAAAGTGACGTTTTTGCTTCCAGGAGGCTGCGCTGGTTAGTCAAGGGTGCATTACCATAGGAAATCTATAATTATCGTTAAAATACCCAAGACAACAGGGTTGAAGGTACAGAACAGTACAATGTGCGGTAAGACCTCTTGCCTATATTTTATGCGGGAACAACAAATTGCGACATTATTATTGAACCTTTATGTATTGTATTGTTGTAGAATTTTTTAGCAGAAAGATTGAGCCTCTAAGGAAAGATATACAACAAAACAACTTAGTAAGTGCCTAATAAAAATACGAATATATTATCTCTGAATTTAGGGCGCTTTCTTGTTGTTCTTTCATATTGTGGTATATACGTGATGAACTAGTTTAAAAAAATTGTATTGCAAAACATTTTGAAAAACAATTTTGCTAGAAAGTTCGTGACCTGTAATTAAAAGAGATACATAATTAAACAGTTGCTTTCACCATTTACGGTGGAAGAGACACTATGGACAATCATGACATTCGTGGTGGCAACCCGCTAAAGTCGACATGAAGACTAAATATGGACTCATCTAAAAAAAGAATCCAAAATTAGCTGAAGATGTGAAGAGATGGAATAGCTTATGGAGGTCTCGTGTGCCACTTAGCGATATGATGCACAAAAAAGAAAATTATTTTGCTATAGCTTTACTAAAGAATTAATATGGTTAACTCTTTATGGTTTACACTCTGCGATATACTAGCCGTATGTTTATATATGCACAGCTTCCGTGTAAAAACCGTACATCAAATGATTTTTAATACTTGATTTGTTTTAAATGACTTCTATTTTACTGCGAACTGTGACCCTTAACACCTGTATTAAGACACTTAATGGTTACTAAATGTTTGCCAACTCTTGTTATACTATTAAAGCTTCGCTGTTATAACATAAAAAAATAGCACACAATTGTTGCTAACAATAATTAAAAGTAGCAAGCATAAGATGAGAGTTTAAAAAGTTAAATGCGAGCCAATGATGCGTCATGCCGAGTAAAAAACTAAATAAATTTTAGTTAGTACAGAAAATAACGCCAAGCGAAACTTCAAAATCCCAATTTGTTTGGGTAAGGATATTCCCCGACACATGATACGATGATGAGATAGCTAGAATACATAATCTGTACATGATTACAATGATGATGTACTATATATTTCTGCGTTCTCTATACGCGTGCACAAAAATAGTTGTCACAATCACCATGTCGACTAATACACACGACTCACGTGGCCGCAGAATTATTTGCGTGGGCTATATATTGAAATTGCTAGTTGCAGTCGGTGGTTTGTATCACTCGGGCGATACGGCATTATATAACAATCAGGTTTAGCTAGTCACTTCCTAGTATCGTCTCAAGGGGTCGTTTACGTTCGGGCGGGCACTCGCCAAATCTTTGTTCTCAGTGTTATAACTTAGACATCGTCCTCGTACGCGGCCTGATGATATCGCCGTCTTTTGTCCCAGCATCTAATGAACGGACAAATAATGAACGGCTACCCTCATGTGTTATGTGTACCGAAAAGACGCTGTAAAAATAAACAGTAATATGTGATTTCTATTTATGACCGAGACTATTAA